GGAGAAGCGTCCAAAAATGGCATCGTTTTTGTTTTCAGCGTCGGCGTAGGTATTTAAGCCACGGCAACGCGTTTGACAAGAACGACGTTAATTTTCAGTAACACTATCGTCTCTTTAAAGACGTGGTAAGGAGGCTGTGCGATGAACAGCGCGGTGATCCGGGCTTCAGACGATAGAGCAGTGCACGGACCGTCGTCCCCGTTGTGAATCCTACATACAAATGTGTTTTAACGGCAATCTGCAGCCAGGAACACAATTTAGCATTACCTACAGGCTATTATAATTATTATGGCACCGCGGGCCTCCATGGTACGGGCTGTCGCTTTTCCGCGGTGCCACGGCTCTCCTGAGCCAATAAGGATTGCTATTACTATTACTATTGTGATGGTTTACTGCGCTGCGTAGATGCAAGAAAGACGCGCTTGATAAAATTTAAACGTAAACAGAAGAAAAAAAAAGCAAATTGTTGTGTGTATGTTTATACAGTCGGAAGTTAGTCTGCCTCAGTGGGCGGCTGGTGTCTCAGCTGTAAATGAGCAATTTAGCCAGTGCGGTACAACCGCTAGCCTGGGTTTCTTAACCTGTACCACGCAGTAGTGATACACGACCGCACGTCGGTACAATGCTCATCCAGATCGAAAAAGGACAGGGCTCAGGATCCCTGGGTTCTGCAGCGCGAGCTTTCGCACCACGTGCTCCGAGCTAGTGTGCCGTAGCCCACTCGGCCACCGATCCCCCTAAAGGATAAAAGAAAAACAGCATACATGACACTGTACATGAATGCCGCAGACTAAAAACTGTGTAATTTCTTTCTCAACATCTCGCCCCCCCCCCCCCCCCCCCCCCCCCACCGTATTTTGAAAATATTATTGTGGCCTTGAGTCGGGGTGGGGCGCGAAGATGGGAAAGAAATTAAACAATTGTTTGTCTGCGCCATTCATGTATGTTGGGGAGATTGGCGACCGAGTGCAATAAAGAAAAGAAAAAAAGAAGATCGGTGGCCGAGTGGTCTAGCGCACACAAGCTCGGAGCATGTGGAGCAAAAGGTCGCGCTGCAGAACCCAGTGATCCTGGGTTCAACCCCCACCCTGCCCGTTTCGATCTAGATAAGGATCGTACCGGCGTGCGGTCGTGTACCACTACTTCGTGGTGCATGTTAAAGACCCCAGGCTCTGGCGGTCGTACTGCGCTGGTTAAATTGCTTATCTACAGTGGGTAACAATGTCGCATGGTCTGGCAGACTAACCTCCTGCTATATAAACAACTATTTTAACCTTTTTTCGTGTGTGTTGTTTTTTCTTCTTTACTCTGTTTTAGTTTAAATTTTATCAACTGTTTTCTTTGCATTTCCGCAGCGCATCAAACCATCACAATGTCTAACCAACGAGCCCATATCCAAGCTTTATTTTTATAATTAGCTTCCATGCTGTTACCGATTTGTATTTGTCATTTACGATTTAAATAAAATTAAACCCTTCACTGCGGAGCATAGGGCGAAACGGAGCTACGCTGGGGAACTCCCCGCAGCCGGGGGTGGGGTTGGGGGGAGGGAAGGTCGGAAATGTAAGAGGAGGAGTGGAAAACTCGCCGGGGCGGAGTCAAAAGAAGCTATTCTCCTCCCCCGTTACGTCGCATCGCAGAGATTCTCGCCGAAGTCGAGCTTAGCCTCCAAGGTGTATAACAAGCGCAATGTGACTTCACGGGACCGATGACCTATTTGAAGCAATCTTGGTCTCTTATGAGGTGCAGACTCTACGCATACATTCCGAGAAAGAGTTGTAGCTAGTGTACTTCGATCGAATTCTCGGCTAATTTCCTCAGTTACGCTGTCGTCAGGTTATTAATCGTTTATTAAATTTCTCATTTATTTAAATAACGTACAAAATGTAGAGGTCGCCACCTATTGACTTTGTAAATAGTCTGCCGCATTCCTGTGGCGCCCCCTCTCGCTGTACTTACTTGTTGTCGCTTGATTAAATTCATTCCTCTGTTGTGTTCTGAAACGTGTGGGGTCGCATCCTGGCTCGCTACACCCTGTCCTCACGGTACGGGCCCTCAATCCATCAAACATGGTGTCAGAAGTGGGATCGACCTCGACGCTAGCCTTCAGGACACTACAATCATGTCCAAGGAATCCAGCCCGCAGTGGGTCGGCGTCAATCTGCGGCAGCCGGACGCGTTCGACTTTTCGAACGTCGGGACTTGGCCGACGTGGCGAGACCGCTACGACGACTATGTCACCGTGTCTGGGCTTGGACAAGCGCCTCAAGACGTCCAGGTACGCTCCCTACTCTACTGTATGGGTCCAGAAGCTCGTCCGCTGCTCAACACGTTCTCGCTCTACGCGGCGTCCCTCGCCTCGTACACCGCAGTGGTTGCTCGCTTTACGGCGCACTTCGTGCATCCAGCCAACGAGCTCTACGAGTCTTCGCGTTTCCACAAACGCATCCAGCAACCTGACGAAAGCGTGGATGCCTATTACGCGGAGCTGTGTAAGCTCGTGAAGCGCTGCAACTACCCGTCAGCGGCGATAGAAGAGCGTCTAGTTCGTGACAGGTTTGTCGTCGGCCTGCGTGACACGCGTCTCTCGGAGCAGCTGTGTCGGAACGCTAAGTTAACTCTCACTGAAGCCTGGACCCAGGCACGTCAGTCCGAAGACGCCGATAAAGAGAAAGCGTCTGCGCGGCCAAGCAACGAGAGTTCCCGTGCAGTCCAAGTCGACGCTACGAAAAAAGATAAAGTTCCATCCCGTCGGCGCTCCGACGCCAAAGCAGCTCGTGCAAGCGGAGCCCAAGCCAGAGCAGGGCATCCCCGTGAGTCATCGGCCTGTTCGTTTTGCGGTCGCGCGCCTCACGCGCGTTCAGACTGCCCAGCACGGGACTCGCTCTGCAACTACTGCAGAAAGAAGGGACACTTCGCCGAAGTGTGCCGTGCAAAGAAAGTCAAGCAAGGCAAGCTCGGCTCTGTCCAGCTGCACGCTGTGGGAACATCCGCTAAAGCTAGGTACGTGGACGTCACCGTGAATAACTACACCGCGGAATTCAAGGTGGACTCTGGAGCGGAAGTGTCTGCCGTACCGAGTGACTTTCCCAACGTGCCGGCCAAGCTTGACAAGGTGGAAAGCCTGCTGACAGGACCCGGAGGTCAACCGCTGCGTGTGTTGGGGTCGTATCTGGCACGACTGCAGTGGCAAGGGAAGGCGAGCTCTCAGCGGCTCTATGTGATCGACTCCCTTTCCGTACCTCTTCTGGGTCTTCCGGCGATTGAGGCTCTCAAGGTTGTACAATTCCTAGGTGCTGTGGATGCTCCCGAGACAACACTGCATGCCGAATTGTTTCGCGGACTGGGCACACTCAAGGACGAGTACACCATTCGCCTGAAGCCAGACGCCGTGCCATTTTCACTCAGCGCACCTCGTCGGATTCCCATCCCGCTGCGAGAGGTCGTCAGGCACGAGTTAGATAAGTTGGAGAGCGACGGAGTGATTCGTCGCGTCGACAAACCAACCCCATGGTGCTCCGAACTCGTCGTCGTCCCGAAGCCTACCGGAGCGTATCGACTCTGCGTCGACCTGACACGGCTCAACGAAGTGGTACTCAGAGAGCGCCACATCCTGCCGACAGTCGAGCAGGTCCTTGGTCTCCTGGGCGACGCGGCCATCTTCTCGAAGTTGGACGCCACAGCAAGCTTCCATCAGGTCAGGCTGGCAGCCGGCTCGCAGGAGCTCACGACCTTCATCACTCCTTTCGGCCGTTATTGTTTCTGTAGACTCCCCTTCGGCATCACCTCGGCGCCGGAGTACTTTCAAAAACAAATGGCCAGAATCCTTGAAGGTCAAGAAGGCGTCGCCAATATGATCGACGATATTCTCGTTTTTGGACGTAACCAGGAGGGACACGACGCTCGGCTCAAGCAGGTGTTGTCGCGGCTAGCAGGAGCTGGCATCACGTTGAACAAAGACAAGTGCCGGTTCGGAGTCTCCGAGGTCTCCTTCCTGGGAGTTATTGTTTCGGCAGAAGGCATCAGGCCGGATCCCAGCAAAGTGGAAGCCATCCGAACCATGGATCCACCGAGTGACATCGCTGGCGTCAGACGCCTCCTTGGGATGGTAAACCACCTAGCAAGATTCCTGCCTCACATCTCTGACGTGACTGCCCCAATTCGAGTCCTCTTGAACAAAACTACCAGCTGGACTTGGCAGCATGAACAAGAAGCAGCCTTCGCAAAGATCAAGGAGCTGCTCACTTCAGACCGGTGCATGGCCAAGTACCACCCGGCGTATGCCACGACGGTTTCTGCAGATGCAAGCTCTTTTGGACTCGGTGCCGTCTTGCTGCAGACTCAGCCGTCGGGAGAAAGTCGACCGGTCGCCTTCGCTTCGCGGTCAATGACAGACACCGAGCAACGATACAGTCAAACGGAAAAGGAGGCATTGGCGACGGCGTGGGCCATCCAGCGGTTCGACGAGTTCGTTCGTGGTATAAACTTTGACGTGGAGACGGACCACCAGCCCCTTGTTTCGCTGTTTGGAAAGATGGAGCTTGACATGCTACCTCCGCGGGTACAGAGACTTAGGCTCAAGACTATGCGCTATCAGTTCCAGATGATCTATGTGCCTGGAAATCTGCTGGCTACAGCAGACACCTTGTCGCGGATTCCTCCAAAGGCGCCGTGTCCTTTGGACACTGTGGAACTTTTTGCCACAGAGGTAGTTGACAGCACCTCCGAAGTACTGCCTGTCAGCTTGGAGGATGTGAAGAAAGCACAAGGCTCTGATGGCGAGTGCAGTGTACTGATCTCCTTTTGCCAGCGCGGGTGGCCGCAGAAGTCAAAGTTACCGCTGCATCTCGGAAAGTATGCTGCCGTGATGGATGAACTATCTGTTTGCAACGGTGTTCTTCTTAAGGGTGCCTGCTTAGTCATCCCTTTTTCACTGAGGCTGCAAGTGCTGACGCTGCTGCACGAGGGACATCAGGGAATTAACCATAGCAAAGCCCGGGCTCGAGAATCGGTATGGTGGCCAGGCATAACTGCGGAGATCACTTCCATGGTTACCAATTGTGAGCAGTGCGCCTCCACTCGTGTGAACTTGTCGGAGCCGCTGGTCTCCACCCCTCTCCCCGGTCGTCCGTGGGAAATGCTCGGCATGGACCTATTCCACCTCAACGGACAAACCTTCATCCTGGTGGTGGACTACTACTCCCGATTCCCGGAGGTTGTAACGCTAAGAAGCACGACAGCTCAGGTTGTCATCGACGTGATCAAGAGCATCTTCGCTCGCCATGGAATTCCTCAGCGCGTAAGGTCTGACAACGGTCCACCATTTTCTTCGAGAGAGTTCACATATTTCGCTAAATCTTACGGGTTTGACCACATGACCAGCAGCCCTCACTTCGCCCAGTCTAAAGGAGAAGCTGAGAGAATGATCCGGACGGTAAAAGACCTCTTTCGGAAGGCAGATGACCCCCATCTCGCCCTCCTCAGCTACCGAGACACCCCGGGAGTGAACGGTTTCAGCCCAGCCCAGCTTTTGATGGGGAGGCAGCTGAAGACCCGAGTTCCTAAGCGCGACGAGCAGCTCCGTCCAAACTGGCCAGTGAAAGACAAGGTTGCCAGCAATGATTTAGCCTACAAAAGACAACAGGCTGCAGACTACAACCGGCGTCACGCGGCCAGGGACCTGCCGTCACTTCGAACCGGAGAGCAAGTCTGGGTGAGACCTGATCAAGTGCGCGCTACAGTGCTGAGTCCTGCTCAACGACCACGAAGTTATATTGTGGAAACAGAACGGGGTGGTGTTCTTCAGCGAAACCGCCGCCATCTCGTGCCTTTCGGTGGAGAGGCACAACTACAAGATCAGCCCGAATCAGCGCAACACGTCTTGGTTCCTGAACAACCACGACCTGCAAGCCCAACAGGGCCGCCTCCTGCCACTGAGCCGGTCCCGGTCCCAACCGACAGCGACGGTGTTGTGCGAACTCGTAGTGGCCGACGTGTTGTTCGGCCGACCCGTTTAAATTTGTGAAATTTTATGTAGTGGGCTTCCTCCATCTTTCATCTTTCATAAAGGGGGGAGATGTAGAGGTCGCCACCTATTGACCTTGTAAATAGTCTGCCGCATTCCTGTGGCGCCCCCTCTCGCTGTACTTACTTGTTGTCGCTTGATTAAATTCATTCCTCTGTTGTGTTCTGAAACGTGTGGGGTCGCATCCTGGCTCGCTACACCCTGTCCTCACGGTACGGGCCCTCAATCCACCAAACACAAAATAGTGGCACATTTTCTTCTAATTTTACGAGGTAAGATAAAGCCTCTGAATTGAGAAGAGGCCACAACCCATGTAACGTTATAAACTTTTCTTCCTTTTGTACAATAATGATCTAAATATTTAAATGTACTATATTGGTTGAATTTGGAAAATACAAGAGCGTATATCCAGTTCTCATTCGCAACAACGCGGCGATCAAGTTCTAATAAATTAAGTCACCGCACTGCAAATTATATGTACCGCGACGAAAATGCATATAGTTTAACTACTTTCTCAGAGGAAAGTAAAACAAGCAAAATACAATGAAAATAGGAGAGTTGTTTGTTGTTACACTTTATTAAGACAAGGATGTCGCGGCGGCCTGGAGGGGACGGTTTACAAGGGGGGGGGGGGGGGGGGGGGGGATTAAAGAAAACGAAACTTAAGGTTATATTCTTCGGTCAATGCCCGTCGCGCGCGCAAACGTCTCTTTGGCACAGGCACTACTCTTGGGGTTAATCCAGTCCTCGTAGGCACGCGCATTGGGGTCTAGAAAACAACTCCGTTCAGTTTGGAGCCCCGCACACTCCCGCAGTAGATGTCGGACCGTAGGGGGAACGCCTGCAGAAAATGTAGAGCAGGTCACCGCCGGGCTGGGAGCCTCGGTTGACTGCGCTGACTCGGAGTGGGAACTCGTGTGTGAGGTGGATGTGTCGTCTGAGTATTCTGTATCAGACGGGCGCCCTCTACCCGTCAGAGAACACTTTAAATCTTGTGCGTGTTCCTAAGTACTGCATTTTAGGAAAGATCACCCTAAGGTTCAGTTACGGGCTAGATTATGTGAGGGTTATTTCGGATGAGAATCTGTGCAAACAAAAAAAAAAAAAAGTCACGCACAACACTACGTGGAAGTGCAGTTTTCTGTCGCATTTATTGGCGTTTGACGCTAACATAAACTTGTTGGACAATATCAGCATTATACTTGCTGAATAGGTATTTGTTCAAGCTTTGTATATATACAGGGTGCGGCCGTGAGGACTAACAGATTTGGCACGCCTTGCAAAATTCGAATTCCAAACGTACATGCCTAAAGTTTGGAGCGCGAACCTAGTAACGCAAAAAGTTTTATGTCTACTTTTTAGAGCTCAATTATGCGGTAGTGAAACATTAAAAATAAAGCAAAATGGGAGGCCGTGCATTTCTTTTGTCCTATCCCCGTCTATTTGTCGTCTGCACATTGTTTTATTATCTCGCTCCCGGGTAACCTGCTAAACGAAAAAAAAGCTAAAAATAAATAATAGAGGCTTTTGACGAGCGAGATAATCGCGATAATTAATGCTTTTAAAGAAATATATGAACAATGACCACCTGGTGGCATGCTCACAAACCAGTGTGCAGATGACGAACATACCGTATAGGGCATTGGAAATACATCGCCGTCGTTTTTCCACCATTTTTGATGTTTCACACCCTCTAATTCGAGCTTTGAAATAAAAAATAGACATAAAACTTCTTATGAAGCTACGCTCGCATACCCAGTGTCACGTATGTACGTTTGAATTTCGAATTTTGCAAGGCGCGACAAAATATGTTCGTCCTTACGGCCGCACTCTGTGTATATTTACAGGCTGTTTCTGCGAGAGCTTTGAAAAATCCCTGAAGATAAGCTGCCTGAGATTAAGAAAAAACTCTTTGCGGAAGCAGACTACCAGCTTTGGCGGTCGTGAAGGATTGCAAAAACATACTAATTATCGAGGTAATTAACTAAAATTTATTAAATAGTTTTTAATTAATAAGAACAAAATTAGGTATGGTTCCACTGAGAAACTTCCCAAGCACCATCGAAAACCGCTATATCACATTTCCTTAGAAATGTATAAGGCAGGGTCAGCATTTTACGGCGTTCTGAAAAAACGCTCAGTTTGAACGGGTTTCTAAGTTTCGGTTTCTTATCCGAGCGCACCTTTGTGCCCGTGGTCCTGCTCCCCAGTGGTCGCGGCGCGAAGCCACCGCCTCGCCTCCTTCGTAGGATGGAACAAAGTATGGCGCAAGTGTGTTGCGCGTCTAGGCCACTGAGGAACAGAACCGCGGGCGCAGAGAAGCGCTAAGGTAAGGCACCGATACCTAGAAACGCGTCCAAATCAAGCGTTTTTACGGAACGCCATAAAATGCTGCACCTGCCTTATGCATTTTTGAAAAAAGTTGGTTCAGTGGTTTTCTATGACGCTTAGCAAGTTTCTCAGTGGAACCGCATGTTTACCTTTACTAAGTAAAACAATCATTAGTAAAATTTTGTTAATCATCTTGCTAATTAGTATGTTTTTGCAATACTCGACGTCCGCCAAGCCTGGTAGGTTGCACCCGCAAAGAGTTTATTTTATCTAAAACAGCGTATTTTTAAGGCCTTTTAAAGCATTCACAGAAACACCCTATGTATGCATATATCACAGGCACTTTCATCATCGTGCGTGCTATCCAAAGAGGAAATATTCGAAAATATGCAGATGAATGAACCGTAATAGACCCTTTCCGGAATGTAGTGCCATCTGATGACGCAAATGGCAGTTTAACTTTTACCGTAGTAATAGCGGAAATGAATCTGCGATCTGTATAGTATACCTGCGATCTGCAGTAATTCACTGCCATCTGGTGACGCAAATGGCAGTTTAACTTTTACCGTAGTAGTGGCGGAAATGAATTTGTGATCTGCAGTATATTATGGGGCATCGTCACTTTCGCAAGTCAAGGGTACACGAGAATGTGCGCGTTATTGTACAATTCTCTTCCAATTCCTTTCTGTGTCAATGGCGAAAACAAAAGGCAACCAGTCAGAACGAAGCGCCAACTCACATAGACGCCTTGATAAAGTTCTATGCTTTAACGGTCTTTGAAGCCGAGTATGCGCTACTAACGCACTGACTGGGCCCGAGTTAGAAATTAACGTTTACCCAGTTCTAGCATCAATCCCTGCTTTACGTCGCGCTAATGTTTAGAATGTTTAGGCCTCGAATGACCTGCTAAGGAGCATCTTCAACTTCTTCCTTCATAAGTAAACAGAAAGCCAGATGTGCCATTTTTTCAGATGATGATAGTGATCAAAACGGCCAGATTGGATTCCGGAAAGGGTTTATTGATCGAGTGAATCAAAGTTTACGAAGCAACTGAAAGACAAAATCCTTGGCGGAGTCTGGATTTAAACCCCGGGCCTCCAAATATGCGACCTGTAACAATCACCCAAATCACAGAATGTGTCTTTTGTCATTTTTAGATAGAAACAAACTCGAGAACTAATAATATATCGCAAAAACAGTTTTAGTTTCTTCCTGAAGAAAAATATGCCCAGCGTATACATGGAGTTAAATTTTAATTCGAACAGATTTAATAAAAATGGGTAGGGTTGAGTTAGACAAGTGCACTCTTCGCCATCATGTTGTCGTGCTCGGTTGACATTAGACGGGGGATAATTATCAAAATAAATCGACTCATTTACAAAAATTGGTAATTAACTTTTTTAGCTATTGGTTCTTGGGATCATGTTACAATTACAGTATTGACGATATTTACTATTAGAAGTCAGATCAAGCGAAAGAATTCCCCAAGGTGAAATTCCCTTTTAGATAATAATTTATCAATTTCCACGTGTTTTCACACGATTTGAAAAGTGGGCGCATTAGAAGCGCTTCTAGCCCTGCCCACAATTACAGTTAAAAGAGTGACGCAGTCGTTTCAGTCACGTCATCACTTGTGTTGTTAGCGCCCCCACCGAGGACACGCTGCAGAGATAGTGACATGATTGAAACGGCTGCGTTAGTCTTCCAAGCACAATTTTGGGGCAGAACTTGTGGCACTCTTTTTGCGTGTAATTTTTAATAGTGCTAAAAAACGTGAAAATTTATTATTTAATACTCCATACTATTAGATTTTCACAAAATATTTCTATTGGTTTGACCTCTCATGGTAATTACCTTCAATTCTGCGATTGAAATATACCGCTAAACCCAAAAATTAAAAAGTTAATTAGCAGCTTTAAGTTAGTTAACTTACCATGACGATTTTCCCCCTAACTGATGTCTGCGAGCCTAACAAATACAGGGTGAATGTTTGTTGTTTGGGTGTGAAAAATTAAGAGCAAACACCTTATATATATATATATATATATATATATATGAAAGTAAACATTTGGCAGAAATCTGCCTGGTTGGGTAAGAACAATTAGAAGAGGAGGAAGGAACGCCAACCAAAAATAAAAAGGAGCCCAACGTTTCGAAACCTGCTTGGTTTCTTCTTCAGGGGCGACTGTGTGCGCGAGGAGCAAGTGATCTTCTTTTACGGCGGTGGACGTGATGTTTTCGCGATCGTAATGTGGCTGAGCCCGCTGACGTAAGCCGACGGTAAAGCGCCAAGCGACCGATTGATGTTTTGCGGTGTGGTTTGAATGTGCCATGACTCGACGAAGAGCCTTTGCCGGGAATTGGTCTCAATGTTGAGGATGCGTGTGTCGTCGAAGTCAATGCGGTGGTCATTCGAGTCACTGTGTTCCGCAACCGCGCTGCGCTCATGATCGAATTTTCGCACGTCGGTTTTGTGCTGGCGAAGTCTTTCTTTAAAGTTTTTGGTTTCCCCGATGTATGTGGCAGGGCAATCCGCACAAGGAATCTGGTAAATAACGCCTTGCGCTCTTTCCTTGGGGGGACGATCTTTTGGCCGGGGCATCAGGTGTCCAAGCGTTGACACTGGTTTGTGGGACATCTGGATGCCTTCTTTTGCCAGCACACGCGCGAGCGCTTCGCTGGTTTCCTTTATGTAAGGGACGCAGATGCGCGTGGTTGAGCGGGGATGTGCGATTTCTTGTGTTTCGCCGATTGGTCTTAGGCGTCGATCAGATTTACGTTGACGACGAGCGATTCGCTGAATAAAACTGCGTGTGTAGCCGTTATTTAGCAGGTCGGAGATGATGGTTTCTTCTTCCTTTTTTCTGTAGTCCTCCGACGAGCAAATAGTCTTCGCTCGGGACAGGAGTGCCTGGACGACCGACGCCTTGTGGCTCGCAGGGTGATTTGAGTCAAATCGGAGGTAGCGCCCAGTGTGTGTCGGTTTTCTGTACACCGTGAATTCCAATTGATCTTTTTGTCTTTTGGCCAGCACGTCAAGAAACGGCAGGGCGTCGTTCTTTTCAGTTTCAACGGTGAACTGGATGGCCGGCTCGATGGAGTTGAGGTGTGCCAAAAAGTTGTTCACTTCTGATTTCTTCACAATGCAGAAGCAATCGTCGACATACCGTAAAAACACTTTAGGGCGTGCAGTGAAAGACTCCAGCGCGCGATGTTCAATGGCTTCCATTGTCAGGTTGGCCGTGGTGACGGAGATGGATGCGCCCATTGCGGTTCCGCTGGTCTGCTTGAAGAATTCTCCTTTAAAGCTGAAGTAGGTGCTCCCCAGGCAGAACTCTAGCAGGCGGCACAGTTCGTCCACCGTAAGACTGGTCCGTTCGCTCAGCTTCTTGTCTCCCTCGAGGGCAGCTCTGGTTGTGGCGACTGCCAGGGGAACCGGCACGCTGGTGAATTCTTCAAGCAGACCAGCGGAACCGCAATGAGCGCATCCATCTCCGTCACCACGGCCAACCTGACAATGGAAGCCATTGAACATCGCGCGCTGGAGACTTTCACTGCACGCCCTAAAGTGTTTTTACGGTATGTCGACGATTGCTTCTGCATTGTGAAGAAATCAGAAGTGAACAACTTTTTGGCACACCTCAACTCCATCGAGCCGGCCATCCAGTTCACCGTTGAAACTGAAAAGAACGACGCCCTGCCGTTTCTTGACGTGCTGGTCAAAAGACAAAAAGATCAATTGGAACTCACGGTGTACAGAAAACCGACACACACTGGGCGCTACCTCCGATTTGACTCAAATCACCCTGCGAGCCACAAGGCGTCGGTCGTCCAGGCACTCCTGTCCCGAGCGAAGACTATTTGCTCGTCGGAGGACTACAGAAAAAAGGAAGAAGAAACCATCATCTCCGACCTGCTAAATAACGGCTACACACGCAGTTTTATTCAGCGAATCGCTCGTCGTCAACGTAAATCTGATCGACGCCTAAGACCAATCGGCGAAACACAAGAAATCGCACATCCCCGCTCAACCACGCGCATCTGCGTCCCTTACATAAAGGAAACCAGCGAAGCGCTCGCGCGTGTGCTGGCAAAAGAAGGCATCCAGATGTCCCACAAACCAGTGTCAACGCTTGGACACCTGATGCCCCGGCCAAAAGATCGTCCCCCCAAGGAAAGAGCGCAAGGCGTTATTTACCAGATTCCTTGTGCGGATTGCCCTGCCACATACATCGGGGAAACCAAAAACTTTAAAGAAAGACTTCGCCAGCACAAAACCGACGTGCGAAAATTCGATCATGAGCGCAGCGCGGTTGCGGAACACAGTGACTCGAATGACCACCGCATTGACTTCGACGACACACGCATCCTCAACATTGAGACCAATTCCCGGCAAAGGCTCTTCGTCGAGTCATGGCACATTCAAACCACACCGCAAAACATCAATCGGTCGCTTGGCGCTTTATCGTCGGCTTACGTCAGCGGGCTCAACCACATTACGATCGCGAAAACATCACGTCCACCGCCGTAAAAGATCACTTGCTCCTCGCGCACACAGTCGCCCCTGAAGAAGAAACCAAGCAGGTTTCGAAACGTTGGGCTCCTTTTTATTTTTGGTTGGCGTTCCTTCCTCCTCTTCTCATATATATATATATATATATATATATATATATATATATATATATATATATATATATATATATATATATATATATATATATATATATATATATCAAAGCATGTCAGACGTAATTTTTTTCCTGCAGAATTTTAAAAAAAAATCGCCCATATGTGACTATGAGTCTGAGGCAATCAATAACACAAAATAAAAAAACATTTTGCATAAAAAATTTAAATCACCTTATAATCCTTATTTAAAGGCATTACAAAGGCAAAATAAAAATATTCGAGCCTCGACTTATTACAGAAGTATGCCTAATTTTTGAGCAACAAAAAGTACCAAAAAAAAAGACCTGACTGGTAGTCTGTGCTTGTGTTTCTGGGCTGCAGGCAGAGAAGTCAAGAAAACTAATTTTAAAACGAATGAGCAGATTTCAAAATATCGTTTGGTGGCGGACTGTGAAGTTCCGTTGGAATGCCGTCACGTCACGAGTTCCTAAAAAGCAGTGCCAGATCGCGGCAGTATGGTTCTCTCGTGGAGTTACTTAGTCCTGAATGTGACATAGCGGGGAAAACCCATAAGCTGAAACTGGAGCCAAAGCTACGAATGCGAGCTAGCCTGCGCTCCTGTCTTTGAGACATGCATTTCTGGAGCGAGCGCTCGATCGTTCTGCAAAACAACGCTTCAAAGCAGCGACCTCGAGCTCTCGTGGTTGAGGCATTGACTGCAGTCTCAGCTCTATAGTGCTTCTGCAACGTGCATTCCACCCCATCGAGGTCGCCGTTCTTTGCAGACGTTAGGTAGGAGTTCGGTCTGAGGATGCGGAGACCCCTACCAGGCCAATCAAGCGCCATTGCAGGGTACTGACGGTTATTTCTACTTACTGGTTCCCTCGAGTCCCAACTTCTGCGGTGGGAAACTAATACGGGGAGGCGAACTCTCGCGGCATATAAAACGCAGGTATGGCCGCACATGATGTTACGGGCAAGCTATGTATAGGCCACAGGGCGTACAATTATCGGATATTACTACTATAGGCGAGATTTTCACGCGTTTTCACCACCAAGTGGCAAGGCTCGCAACTACGGTACCCTTGACCATGCTTGTACTATTGACGTCACGAGCGAAATACGCATTGCGCTTCTCGCTGGCCGACATTGAAGCGAAGGGTAGAGAGTTCGCGTTCACGTCATTTTGTTGCCGTACCCCTTTAATCTGAGACTGCAGTTATTAGGGAGTTTTGTAGACCGTTTTCGCGATTCGGCAACGCCCTCCGCAACCCGCTACGATCCTCGGAACTCTACAGTCAAGGCTATCGGCGCGCAGGCGCAGTCGCAACTTCTTCGTTGCGGAGGGCTTAGCGGAGGGGGAAACGCGGTCTACGAAAACTCCCCAACCGCTCATTCACACTGGAAGCGGATCCGCGTTCGCAAAGCGGTTGCGAAGGTGGTTGTATAAAGATCCAGTACACTTGCACGCGCACTTGATGTCATCGAGTGCGCGTGCAATTATTGTACTGGATCTTTATACAACCGCGTTCGCAACCGCTTTGCGAACGCGGATCCGCTTCCAGTGTGAATGAGCGGTAATGCCACAAGCACGCGAGCTCTAGGTCGCTGCTTTGAAGCGTGCTCCCAGAGAACGAGCGCTCGCGCTAGAATGGCATGTATAAAGTCAGGTGCGCGGGCTACCTCGCGCTTGTAGCTTTGGCTGCAGTCTCAGCTTAAGGGTGAACAGAGTATGGAGTGATACAGTGATCTGGAATCAGAAGTGCGCGTAACGTACCCTCTGTCGATACAAACGAGAAACGTACAGGAGAAACGGTGTGCAAAACAAAGCTACTGACGTTTGGCTTCAGCAAACCTTCACCTTTTGACTTCAAGCTCTGAGCAGAATGGCTCAGATGGATGAATAAATATAGCAGGTCTCTATTATAAAACAGAGAGCGCAATAAACAAGGGTCGAAAGGAGACAAATATGGTATGCAAGCGTTTACTGGTCTTTATTTGAACGTTTGATGGGTGCATATCTTACCCATATATTCTTGGATGTTCCATAATTGTTTTATTATAGTACTTACGCACCACCTGAAACTGAACTCGAATTTATATCTCGGTTAATAAACGAAAAACACACAAATTTAGTAAACACTGAAAATCTTTATTAAGAAACTCAAAATTTTCGCTTAGAAGTTTCACCAAGGCACGTGATCAAATTGTGGCTCACTGTGGAGCAGCGCTTCATTTAGGCAGAGGTGCACTCCTCGTAAGCCTTCTTTAGCGAAGCAAGCTCTTCCTCCTAAAAATAGAGAAACAATAACATACATAAGCAGGAACAGTAATCGAGCACCAAAGTTTTTTATGTAAATTATACAATTGGAAAAGAAAATAAAGTAATCAGAAGTTGGGAGACAGGCGTGCTGGTTTAGTATACCCATAATTTAAACTGAAGACGATGGATGACCAAAACGGAAAAGACACGTTTCAAATTGAGTCGTATTGTGTGCGTTTTCTTTTTGTCGTCGGTAGTCTCAGGTTTCAATTGCGTTTTTTAATCCTTTATTTTTATATGGCTGGACTTGTCGGAGACTTATGCATAGGCCAAGGCAGCAACAACTACATAGTGTGGCGTACATAAAATATAACAAAAAAAAGCAACACCAAAAACACAGTACCACGTAAACATACCGGTAAATCAAACTGGCTCTACACTCTTAGTGCGGACAATGTTAAAAAATAAAACCTAGTAGGACAAAATTAAAACCATCTCTGGGATTCATTGTGGAAGTTAATAACTACCAGAGGCATAGAACTGTGGTGCATAAAGTCAGTTGAAAAATCAAATGTCAAAACACAGCCCTCTAACAATGCACTAAAAAAAGGAAATACCATTCTTGAAAGACATGAAGGCATCGTCAAAAACGGCGACATGATATGAGTCAAGGTGATGAGACAAATTTTGAATGCAAACTATCATGGATAAACAATGTATAGCGTTTATGGCGAACGTACGGTCATTGCAGAAACACCGAAGTGGAGCGTTTATATTGATGTGAGATATGATAATCGCACAGTCATAGTACCCACGCAAACACTTAAACAAAAATACGAGGTCATTCCTACCTCGTCTAGTTAGTAAATCAGATGTGACAGATGCAAGTTTGGTTGTGGATGATACAGGCGTTCTTTCTGTTAACTTAAGCGCCGTTCACACGCTTACAACCGAGTAAGACCGAAAAAGACAACACCGGTATTGAAGCCTCTTGCGACGGCGAAAGACCTGCTCAGCAGCAGCGCTTCCCGTCCTACGCCGTCGCAAGAGGCTCAAAAACTGGTCTTGTTTCTCTCGGTCCTACTCGGTTGCAAGTGTGTGAAGGGCGCTTTATGTCTTCAGTGAAAAGTGACTGTACGGAGGAAGTAAACTTCCCGGTGTAGTTTACAAGCTCTTCAGGGAGTTTGTTCCAATTCACGAGAGTCAGTGGAAAGTAGCTTTACTTGAAAACATTCTCGTGGCCCAGAAATTCGCACATTGCTTTCTTGTTTTTTTTGTTTTTTTTTTTTTTTGTTTTTTTTTTCTTTTTGGTCCGTAAGTGTTAAGGCAACATACCCTCTTATAGGTATTTTGATCCTGCCATTGCCTCACTGTTCAGCAACTTTAGTCAGTTGATTCTCCTTCGTGTGGCCAAGCGCGGCAGACCAGATAACGGATAAAGTCCGGTTATAAACCTTCTTTTTGTATTGGTGATAAAAAAAAATCGCAGCGCTTTATTTTAACCTTTTCTGGTGCGTTGATGCACGTTTTTGACCATGGATCTTATAATGTCGCTGCGTATACTCTAGGGTGGGACGAATTAGACTTTCGTATGCTACTAATTTAGTTACTGGGGTGTAGGGACGCAGGTTCCTGCGGAGAAAGCATAATTTTCTCTATACTTTATTAACGGCTTCAATAATATGTGAACTGCACGTTAGGTTTCAGGAGAGTGTGACGCCGAGATATTTCCACTCACCGACCGTTTTCAAAGGCCCATTCTTTATGACGTAGAGAAACAAAGTGGTGTTTTTTTTTTTGTGATTATGTGAAAACACTTTAAACCATTAAAGAAAATTTGCCAGTTTGTACGCGATGATATTTCTGATAGGCATTTATGTGCTTAATTTGATCGGTATTGCATGTGACATCTGTACAGGAAGCAGTCTGCAGAAAAGCAGCAATGTAGAGAAGGATAGCTTTCTCCTAAGAAATCGAGAAAAGTAATAAGGTAGTATGAATCTGAGTCATGATGGGCAAAACACCAAAACCACATCTGAGCCTGAACTTGAAATAACTCCTAACCATGATGACATTCAGAAAACTTTAATCAAAACGTGCGTCCTTATTTATATTTTTTTTTCCACCGGTCGTACCCACCAGAATGTGCATAAGGTAAAAAAAAAGTTCCACAAACGTTTTTTTTTTTTTTCGGTATATGGTACAGCCGGCCCTAAAAAAATATGGACGCAGGGGAGCGATGGCCCGCCGGCGATAAGGCGACACGGGGCGCTACGATAGCGTAAGCACGCTGGGGCTGTGACTACCGAACTTGGCTGCACGGGGGACGTCGGCACAAGGAAACCGTTCCCAAGGCGCGCTTTCCAAACGGCACAGCGTGGCTACGAACATGGTTCTGTTTTCGCTCGCTCCTTGAGAGCAGGGCTGTCTTTTTTTATCTGTATTTTACCGTCATTTACGATTTAGTGACGCTGAACTGTCAAAGCTGGCGAATGAGAGGAAATGCGTCGTCTCACGCACGACCCGTCACCTTCAAAAGCCAGCCGCCCATAAAGAAAAAAAAATACTACAAACGATAACTCTCTTCAAGCACCCCTGCGATTCAAAAGTGGGAACGTCCCAGTCACTCTCGCTCCCCGTGTTATCGCGAAATACAGCGCCGCGTCTGGCGGTTTCCTTGCGCTGGCGACGCGTCACTTGTGTTCATATTTGTTTAAGGCCAACTGTACTTTGTGAACAGGATGATGACCCCTATACAAATTTTCAATCTTTCTTTTTATAATGCCAATTAATTTTTGCGACATTTTTTGCTTTGTTAACGCTGAGAAGCATGGCGAACAGATCGTCGAAATTGAGTAGAATTTTGTACATATAGCCGCGTGCGAATAGCTGAGTTAGCAGCGTGTTCAACTCTCACGCCGCTGGCTGCTGTTTGATCCCGGCCAGTACTTGTCCCTTTTATTCTTGTTTCGTTTGCGTGACTGGAATGTTCCAGATGACTCGAGAATCTTGTTTGTTCCAGCTCGAAAACTTTAGATACCCACGCGCTTACAAGAGGAGCCTCGCATGGCCTGCCTGAGGCAGTCGTCCTTCCGTCGCCGAAAATTAGGTCTTTGTTACTTTATGTTTCTCGGCGCAAATTCGCCGCATTAAACGTTTGTTTTAAATTTTATTAATAAAGTATATGTTTTTATTCGTGAAACTATTTGAGTTTCATAAACAGACGCCCCATCGGATTTCTTTTTTAGCTGCCTTGGTGGCAACCGCCGGGACTATTTTAACTCCGCAACAGCTGACTACTGAAGTGGCGGCTCGTGATAAGTCCGTCTATAGTCCGAAATGTGTTAAAATTCAGTTTCGGCTACTCCGGCAAGCGCAATCGACCACAACTAAGCGAGCAGGAGAACACGAACCACCTATGCACGTAGATTATCTCAAGGAAATGGTTCACCGAAATGAATTCTAGCGAAATGTTTGAGCAACGCGTACGTCACGTGTAACCAACCAATATCTGAAAGAGCATGCCGCGCGAACCCTTCGTATGTTGAGAGGCATTTTGGCTGCTTTTAACCCACTCAGCCCAATCGGCACACCTGTCTACGTGGAGCTGCGATACTGCTAGGCGCCTCCTGACTCGCTTACCTAGACATAGAAGGATAAGAGAAAGAGAAGTGGCCGCGCTATGTAGCCAAGACCTGCTGAATTCGTATCGCGCAAGGAGGTATTCAAGAAGCATCTGGGACCCGTCTTTCAGATAAGCTCGTATCTATGCATAAAAGTGGTACCAAACGCCGTGACCGATAAGAGGAAGTCGAAGATGGAAGATTCAAACCCCCTGGAATAAAGTAAAAAATGTCTAGATTTTAATCTCCAGTTTTGAAGAGGGAACAGGGCCCAAAAAAAAGTGATTTCTAGATGTCATTAATCGTATCAGATGGTAGATACAAATGCATTAGAGTAAAACATACAGTTAGAGCTGAAACATTTTTAAGTTGCAAATAAACATGAGGACCAAAACTCAGGACGGTACTTACGCTCATACTCGCCTTCATCACTTCTTTCTGTATAGTGAAATAAAATAGTGTGAAGTTAGCACTTGTACACAAAACAATTAGTAAGCTTCCTCGTTCTAGGGACATACAAATGCTGGTCCACAAATCGACGGACAACTGTATTATTATTTGTTCATGCTGGACAAGACCATAAACCACATCTGAGTGTACTAGAAAATTACTTTCATACGAACGTCAAATCGAACCTTACCTTCCAACCGTGTATCTCACTACATTTTGAATTATTAACAGACACTCAAGTATTACTGCTCCTAAAAATAGTTTCAAGCTCCGTCTTGGCCAATTCAAAGGATTCAATTTGGGCCTTTGTTTTCTCTGCTGGGCAGAATTTCATAATGTCGTATAAAGTTTCGTACTTACATAGTCAGTGCCTGAATCACAGTGCTTTTTGATGAACTCTGGAAACGGCGTTCCCTCCTTGTTTAAGGCGTGCACTTTTTCCTTTAGCTGTTTTGTGAAGAATAAAAAAAAAATTAATTTGTAGTAAGTGGAGGTTAAAACATTTTCTTTCTTGTGATATTTACAACGAAATTTTTTTTCAGCATTTTAGGAAGTTGTGATAAGCACTAATATTTTGTATATTTCATATTTTTATGTATAACGTTTTTTCTTCTTTTATTTTCGCGTGAATCTTGGAGTTTCCTATTACCTCAAAAATATCGCTTACAGTCACAAAACTATGTGACATCATGCCATTTTCCAGGAAATATTTCATTTACAACAATACTTCATGCAAAATGTTTACAGTACAGTCGATAATATGAACGGTCACCATTTCGGAATCTCTATTGTTGTTCAAGCATACCGACCATTCGTATAATTCGCTCTGCAGTACGTTCAAACTTTGTCTGCGAGTAGGCGTCGAAAGAGTGGCATTTTGTATCCCAAATTGCGTAAAATCAAAGCGTACGTAGACTAACCTATTCACAGCACTCTGTCTAAATGCATAGTAATGTAGTCGGTATCACTGTACCTTTTGCCCTTTATTATCTTAACTTTAGGTCGGCTCGCTTTACTCACCTCAGTCGGTATCTTCTCGCTCATGCAAAGAATAGTACTAGCCAGCTTCTCATGGTCCATGTCTGTCGAATAAATATACAACAAACATCAAATTTATATTTTTGTGTGTGTGTTTTAACTCAAATCTTTTAACTCAGGCTATAAGAAATCATCCGAATGACAAAAAAAAATAAAAGTACGTATAGTCACTGGCTTGACTTTGGCCGCAAACTCTTGCGTTTGTTTTTCCTTAACGCGAAGTACTTTGCGCAACTCTAAAGACCGCAATTACCGCGAACACGATAGTAGTGATAGTTTCATTTTGCCTAGAAAGGGAATTGGTGAGCCCCAAAATTTACCGCTAAGGTCAGTAATTTAAATGAGCCGTTTCCACCACATTATAAAGCTTTGGCGAGACTCATTTTTAAAAGAGAGGTGCACACCACTTGAGATAAATTGCTTGTTCGCTCTGATATTTTTCTTCTCTGTACGCGAAAAACTGTATGTTGAAGGTAGAAGTTTTCAAGCATTACCAACCACTAGCACCTAACTTTGATCGTCTACATTTCATATCATTAGTGATTCTTAAAAAGCCTTTATGAGCCTAGTTTGTTGTTTTTATTGAGCTTCAGAACTTATTTATCGGATCTGACTTTCACGCAAAAAATTCAAAGTATGCTAGGTTAAGATACATTGGTCGCTAATATAAAGTCTCAGTCGTGCAAAACACAAAATTACGACCTTCCTAGGGCCACTCAGAAAATTGCATAAAATTAATTTCGTGTCATCACGTCTGAGGCACACAACCCTCATTTATTTTTATTGGTCAAAATCGAACGTAAAGGAACTATACGAACAAGTTCCTCTTAATGTTTTTTTCTTCTTGTTCACTATTTACTCTGAACTCCCGTTAAAATAAAAAAAATACCTTTTTGCTGTCTTTTTTTGTCAAGCCAGAAAACCAAAGATAAAATCAATAGAGAAAAGATAAAAATAAACATATTTTAAATAAAAGCACCAACCACGAAATGTTTTAACACGCTTCTTTTTCAACAACTTTCTTGCGCATCATTAAGGATTAAAATATGCATTAAACGATTTCTCGATTCACATTGTAACAACGCACAAGTATAAAACCAGAATTCTCTTTTCCTTCCATTCTTCAGCAGGTGCACGCTCTTTTTATATTCCTATTACTTTGTGAAACGCGCGTAAAAGTTAGAAAACAAAATATTTCCTTTTACTTACGGCAAAGTGCTCCAGCCTCCACAGCATACACCACGGCAAGCACCAGGCTGCATAGCAGAGCAATCTTCATGGTAAATCTCTAAAGAAATTTCGGCTTTGATAGCTCAAGCAAGATCGGGACCTCAAGTGACCAACTGCGAAAAGTTATTTTTATTCTGGTTTATATACACGCATTGCACCGCGTCCTTGGAAGCGAGCGAAAGCATCAAGTCATCAGGTGCAAGGGAAATTTTCGCAAGACTTCGCGGACAATACGTACTGTCGTGGTAGCACCAGAGCTTCCTTGACGCTCGTCTTTCCATGCGACATAGATCTAGGCGGAAAGTGAGTAAAATCATTTCCACGCTCCACCCTCTTCAATCATGAGACGGATAAACACGTTACAAAAGTGTCTAACGGCCCATTCAGGTATGGACGTCAATACGAGCCATTTTGTGTACGAACGTGCTGGGAAATCCGTGCTTTACGACTGCCCTTACGCTTCGAATGTTCACTCCAGAGCCTAAATAGCATATAAGCCTAAAAAAAATACCTGTTTTCCTATCATCATTCATAAAAAAAAAGAAAATCTGGGACGTCTTACATAAACATGGAAGTAACCTTACCCTAGCATTTGTCTTGATTTTTGCGAACATTGACTAAGTGAAGGTTGGGCTTCTTATTAGCGGTGCCGTTTCCTGTCAAGGGATGACATTCACAAGACGAGAGTCCACTTAAGATTTGTGATTTGTTGTGTCAAGGGGCACGGCAGTGGTGTAGTTTCTAACACACGTAAAAGATGACCTCAAGAAATTTTTTTGTCGCCTGACAGCAATCGATTCCTGCTCTTGCTGGAAACATTTCATATGCGTACTGGAGATTCCTTCATAATTGTATCTCCCATTTTTGTATTTGCTCAAATCAAGTCAATCACCGAAAACACACCTTCACAATATGTTAGGCTCTATTTTGTTTGTTTGCACATACCGGTTGTGTTACATAATACCTCTAAAACGTGCTAGCAAGTCCGCGTAATACTTGGATTTACTAAATCATTTATCTCACCATAAAACGAAGATGTAAAAAACGCATTCCTCAGAGAAATAAGATTTGCACCTCACAACAGAAACTATAAAATTCTCTGGGTTTTTATTTGTTTAAAGTAACTTCCTCAAGTTTACTATCCATACCAACACGCTCGTTCTGTCCCTACACCGAAAATGAAGTGTTGAGCTCAAAAGTAACTATCCAAAAATTGATTTTAATAATTATTCAAGCTGATTTCTGTTCATTCATGTAGTTCGAAGAGCAATTTTACATTTATAGCTTTCATTTCAGAATTAACTCTAAAACAATAAGATAACTGCGAGAACCTTAAATAAAATAAAATTTAAAACGTGGTAAAAGGCAATCAGAAAGTTACTTTAAATTACGGAATGTCCTAAACGCGTGCAATCAAAAAACTGGATTGCTTATTTATCATTAAATATAAAAGATTAATGTACTCCCCCCCCCCCCCCACTTCTCACTCAAAGTTAGAATCTTGAATAAACCCGCCTTTGTCATTGCTTTATTGTAATAATTATTCTAATCACTATAATTTAAAAAAATTAATCGCAACTTACAGGAGTGGTCGAAGCAGGGGAAAATCGGTCACGGGCGTTAAAGCGGCGAATCACGAAGAGGCTTGCTATGGTTAAGGATAGCTACTTCCCGCAATTCAGATATGCTTTTGCTATAGACTAATCAGAAAAAAAAATTAAGCTAACAGTTCTTTTTTGGATGGACTCAAGTTTTATAACTAGCCAAGATTTCCGAGGTCACCATACAGAAGAAGCGAACTCAAGTTTAGGCAGAACTTAGGTTTAGTATGTTAGTTGTTTTATCTTTAGTGTTGCGGGTTTCAGGTTTTGACGCGTAAAGTCGAGGGTACGGTTTGCGTTTCCTACTGTAATATTGATGTGAGACGTTCAGAAAGGTCAGATGTTAAATGAGTAGCTAATTATTTATATGAACTGCAAACGGTGATAGGAGAGGCGTCAAGATGGTAAGCAAACGGTCGGAGAACACAGAACAGTGCCATATTTATATACCAGCACGAGAGTTCTGTGCGTCCAGTTCAGAGGTTTATTAACAATCTCAAAATCGAACCAGTGTAAACGCTTAATTAACTTTAAATTCGCAGTCAATCAAATACTGCCAGCCGTCGTACACCCTCTGTCTAGGCACAGTGTACTGTCCGTAAATAGTCTTCAAAACTGTAACTTCTTGCGTCTAGAAACAAAAAAAAAACTACGGCAGTGTCAGACACAACTAGGCATTGGGATTGATTACCACAGCTTTCTACATTGCACCATTTCCGTGCTGAATGCTATAGAAAAGTCAGAATCTGGACACATAATCGGCAGATCTTTACAGCAACGGACCACAGTAAACTTAACCAACCTCTTGTAATTATGCCATCAGTCAACCTTGACCTAGAACATTTTTTATTGATTGTATTGTTTTCCTGACCCCTTCTCACATATTCTACGGGAATCACTTTAAAATATAAGTAAAGCTGGACATGTGGCACTAACACTTATTACGCAACGAAGCGTTTGTCTCAATGTATTTTGCACTCTGCTCAATAGACAGAGCAGTATGACATGCAAGTGCGGGGCAAAGTCTGGCGTGCTTCTCTGAGACCAGAAAGGCTCAGTGAGAGAACAGTGTCAGGTTAAACACCTTAGCGATATCATCTCAGGCTGTAACTTGCAAGTTGGAGGAACTGGAAGGACTTCAAAAGCGCAGTTGAGATAACACGCTCGTCAAAGCCGTACGATCCAAAAGAGGTATCGGGAGCAGGAACTTCGCCAAAACTGCTCTGATGCAAAATGGCATTTACCATGTTCATTTCCTCTCAGCTATCGCGATCCTATCCCACTTAAATGTTTTCGTTTTATGCAGACTACCAAAATGCAAAACATATTTAACATCCCGGGATATTGAAACGCAGCACAACTGTGCTTAGAATCCTACATCATTGGGAAGGGCCCACACAGATACAAATCAAATTCAGATTCAAATCAAATCAAACGGCGGAATCAGGGCTGCGAATCAGGGGATTCGCAGCCCTGATTCCCGCCGTGTACACATCCCTCCTATATTTTTGCAGTCGCTGCCACCTGGAAAGGCGATTCTCATCCCTGCAAGCCCAGCACGCGCCAACTGCCCTCTGACGTCATCACTGTTGCATCAGCAGCACGCCGAGGAAGCAATCACCAAGACCATCGACACGTCACCACCGCCAGAGGAAGCACGTGACCAACAAGACAAAAGCCGTCAACGCAAGCACCACAGCGGGATTCGCAGCCCTGATTCCGCCGTGTACACATCCCTCCTGTATTCTTGCAGGTATGCCCAAAAGCCACTAGGGTATACTCCGTTTCTATCTTTGTTGGCTGCGAATCCCACCTTTGCCTTGTGTTTTTGTTGGTCGTTAGTCGGGGTGTCTTGGAATTGGTACCGACATCATGGTTTAGCGAACACGGATCGGTTCGTTCCTCCCTAACAAAAGAAAGCGAACCTTATCTTCCGCGAAGATGCGCTTCTGAACGTGTCTGCCATATGGTTGCCTGGATCTCTGAAGCTGTTCACGATAGCAACCGTCATGTTTCTTTTGCTGGCAACCGCAGGAGACGTTGAAATGAACCCAGGCCCCGTTACGAATACTGAAAAATAGACAGACTTCAAAACGCGATAGACAGTCTGATCGCGAACTCAAACCAAAATCAAGAAACGAATGCTATGACACTTGACCAGATAAACAACGGCATCGCTGCTCTGGTTGCACGCGTCACGAACCTTAAAAAACAGGTGCAAGACGTCGCGAGTATGAAGGAAAACTTAAGCACTGTTGAAGAAACCGTGGCCTCAGTTCAACATGAAACTTTAGCCTTACGTGAACAAGTCGAGGCACTTGGTGACACGATAGATGACTTTAAAAATCAAATGCGAAGAAAAAACTTAATCTTCAAAGGTCTTCCGGAAACAGAAAATGAAACTTGGGACGTCACAGAAAGGATTGTAACTCACTTCGTGAAGAATCACCTCGCAATCGACTTGGGCACCGTAGAAAGAGCACATCGTCTGGGCCGAAAACGAATTGGAATAAATCGTCCAATCATCGTCAAGTTCCTTTGTTTTAAAAGCAAGGACGAAGTTCTTCACAACGCCTTCAAACTGAAAAGTGTGGTAGTGCCCAAGGTTAAAATATCCGAAGACTTTTCACGTAAGATTCAATTTGCAAGAAAAAAAGCTGTGGGATTTTGCCTCCCAATTCAGAGAATGCAACACCCGCTATAAGGTCCGTTTTGATAAATTGTATGCTAACGACTCGACCTATCTTTATGACCACGCTAGTGGATCGGTAGTTTCTGTTCGTGGACCCCAAAGAAAACACAATGCCACAAGAATGACATAATAAAAGCAAGCTTTTCTACCGTCCAGCCATTGTCGCCAACTTTTCATTTCTTATCGCAAATTTTCGTAGCATCTCATCAAAGCAGGATGAATTTGAGAGTATTACGTCTTCCAGCGAACCCGATATAATTCTTTGCACCGAAACTTGGCTAATGTCTGATATAAGCAACTCTGAACTTTCACTGAGCAAACGGTATGTTATTTAGTGCAACCACCGTAAAACCACAAGAGGTAGCGGTGTTCTCATGGCCGCAAAAAAAAAAAAAAAGACATTTCTTGCACAGAAATATAAATAAGTTCAAACCTTGAAATGTTATGGATTCGAGCGCAGTTGGAATTTTGTTCAGTGATCACAGGTGTTTGTTATCGTCCTCCCCATACTGACCAAACCGATTTCAATGACTCGCTGCATAATTGCCTTGTTGATTTAATGGTAAATTTTCCAAATCACTACATGGTTCTCGGTGGTGATTTTAATTACCCTGGTATAGATTGGGCAACATTAAAACCTATTTCGAATTGCAATAATCCTGGCCAATGCCGCCATTTTTATCTCTCTTGGAAACGTACGCGCTCCATCAGATTATAACATCGGCGACTTGCGACCGAGCCATCTTAGATCTCTTC